GCTTGGTAGAAAAATTTGGGCAAAGTATAGCTTTCTATCAGGTCTAGAATGAATTGAACGATTTAAACCTGTGCAGGATTCCCTAGAATTTACGTCAACATTTTACCGTATCGGGCAGTATCAGTGTAATGGCAAGTGGCGTTACTTACCAAGACACTAATCAAACCCTCGATACATCCGGAGTCAGTAGGTATCAGATTCGCATAGGGGATCAAATATTATTATAATACTATAACTTGCACATCAGTTGCTCTCCAAATCCTTGCTAAGAACAATAATATTCTGATCCCACTGCACTTCTGAATTGCAGTAAAAAGCATGGCGCATCCCAAAGTTTGTTTATCGACGACATTTCTTTTATCCTTTTATTTTATCCTCTTCGGATAATTTGACCCCAACACACTACCTTACATAACAAGCTTGCTTTACTTAACTGCCCTAAAAAGTAAGGCTTTACCTTGCCATATTTTTCGGTTCGCCGACAATACATATGCCCAATTGTGATGAAGCGAAAATGTGCTAATAACTCAAAACGTTCCCTTAGGTCAAAGTCCCGTGCTTCAGAAAACCGACTTTTTCCTGAGTTTTCCAATTGGAAATCAGCAGTTTCAGGTTATCCGTCTGCTCCGTCATTTTCCCTCGAACCATCCATGTACACCTATGACCCATCATCAAATTTCCATGCAGGAGCGATAACCTCTGGTAAGCGCTTTCATTTTAGAATGAAAGAATTCACCAATACTATAAAGAATATCTAGCAGGTAGTTCAATGTATGGTCTTCCACCGGCAGATCCTTTTCAACGAACTGATCCCATGGTTATGGGCAGCGCCAATTCTGATCAGAAAGATGTTGACCTCAGCGATAAAAATGGGTAGGTTACTCGTGTTACTAAGTCGTTACTTTGCTTTTGGAACCTAACTACAATGATCTTTTTTTCTTCATTTTTGCAATCACAACAACATTTTAAGAGTTTCTTGACGTAAATGTTCAAAAACGTTACCTATCTGTTGAGATTCTTCGTTGAAGCATAACCAATGGAACCAGAAA